ATGGGTTTAGCTAGTTAGTTTTTTTGTTGTTGTAAGAAGTAATTGATATTGTTTTATTGAAGCAACATTGTCTATTGTTTATTTTAATTTTAGTTCTATTATTTGACATGACCAATGCAAATTTTGTATCTGTTATTTTGGTTCAATAAATGAGTTATGAGTTATGAATAGCGTAATATTTGTCTATTGAAATGTAAAACTTTTAGTATGAGAACCATGACGAGAATAACTATGGAATAATTTTTTTATTATTTAAGTCCAAGAAATTTCATGTGGTTTTTTCATTTTGCATTGGGATTAAAAGTATTGTTAACAATGATGCTTGTTACAAAAAGTGCACCAGGCTTCGCCTTGCTCATGTCTTTCTCATAAACTACTATCTTGCACCAAAATAACGATAACTTTTGGACTAGTAGTAAAATGTCTTAAATTCTTGATTTAAATTGTTGATCTGTTAAATCCATATGATGTATTACAAAGTTTGTACATTTTAACATTCCAACACAATTTTTTTCATTGTTACTTCAATGTAAAATAAATAGCTTTCAAAATTCACAATCTTGAACGTGAGACAAAGGAATTCCAATACACAATATGTAAACTAATAAATAAACATAAAACAAATCAGGCCTTTTAACAAAGACAAATGATAGCGGCTTTGATTGGAAAAGACAACCTTAGCGTGTTTTATTTCAATGGAGCCCTAAGAGACAAAGCAAAATCAGTTAGTCACTTATTTTCAAATTTAGTCTATCCACCTAAAGGGTTGTTTCCTAGGGAATTCCTGATGCTGTTCTAATTTAGACTAGCCTTATGATAAAGTATGTCTTTGTTTGTGTCCAGGTATGAGTTCAGCGCCAAGGCCAAGCCTCGCCTGAAGGAGCTTGGTCCAAGGTTCACTCTACGGCTACAGTCCCTTCAACTCGGAACATTTGACAGCAAGACTGGCGAATATGAATGGATACAGTCCGGCAGACGACACGAACTGGAGACATCTAGACGTCGCTTCTACTTGTGAATTTGTATTTAGAGAAGTAAAAACTGTTTTTACAAAATCCTAGTTTTTCATGCAAAGCCCTTAAGCTCATTTCTGTAGCTAAGCTATGTTTAAAGACCTGGCTAACTTATGGTATTGATTTATCCGAATATATTGATTATCAGCACAAATAGTATTATGGCTTTGGACATTGGGGTTTTGGCAGAGTTTCTGGATAGTTAGACTGAGGTCGAGCGTACTTGGAAAAATGGCCTGGTACCTACTAGTAATAGCCTTTAAGCATTCTTTAACAGTAGTATTTCCTTAATTTAGAGAATTTTTCTGGTATTGTCACTATTATCAGTTATTTTGGATGGCCCTCACTAATGTAGCAAAGTTTTAAACTTTTGAATAAGGACTATTTAGCAAACATATTTTTAATTAAATTTTGATTCTTAAAAAATTTCTAGAAAACATCTTTTCAGCTTTGTATATAAGCTAGTACAGCATTTAGCAAATAAATGCTTGGACTAGAATGGAAATTCTACTTTATTTTATAGCAAGGTTGAGGATACAACGTAGAGCCCTTTAATCTTAGGTTTTTTTTTAATTTTTGTAAGTCAGCAAGCTTGAATTGAAAAAAATAATTTTGTCACAAGAAACACAAACATCTTTAGGCCTACACTAACTTTCACAATATTTAAAACTTGACTGTCATTGACAGAATTTTCAATTGAGGATGTCAGTGACAGTGAATTATGATTATCATTTGTTTGTAGAGTGTGAAGTCTTTCTTGTGTTTTAGTAGACTTTTACCAATTAGCCTGTTATCCGAAAGGCCTTTTCACACCCGGCGTACTGGACGTACTGTACGTTTGGTACCGCCAGTACGCCCAGTACGCGGTCCTTTCACACCGCACAGAAACTTCCAAAACGTACACTTGTTCGTTTGCAGTCAGACAAGTAACACTGGCTGAGCACGTGGTTTTGAAGTGTTCACTGCGCATGCGCGAGCCCACGTACGCCACGTACGTTTTAGAAAAATTGCTCTCCGAGCGATTCACGCAAAACCATCGCGTACGTACTGGACGTTCTGTACGATCTGTAAGCGCGGTGTGAAAGAGCTCATATGATAACATGGGCAGCGATCTGTTGAAAAAAAAACGTACCAAACGTACAGTAGGTCCAGTACGCCGGTGTGAAAAGGCCTTAATGATCATATTAGACCCACAAAGATCTATAAAACACCCACTTCCTTGCTGTTATACTTAACAACCATGACTATTGAGTATACTCGAGCTATGTGAAGGATATTCTTCCTCCAGGGTTCGATTCGAAAGTATCACAGTTTACTCAAATCTTCTTCACAATATTGAATATTTTTTGAGTGCAGACAATCATTGTGGTTTATGCACTTTTGTAAAGTGTGTATTGTAAATTATTATGTTTGTAAATTGTTTGATTGGTTGATGATAAATAACTTGGTGGAGGAAATCTTTGAATATTTCACACTTTTGGCCATAGAAGAACTTAATTAAAAATATCTCAAGTAAATTATATTTGTTTTTCTGCAAATTGACTAGAAACTTATAATTTTTTAAATAAAACGAGGTGTTAGCCCGTCCTACGTACGGGAGTAGTCAGTTAAAACTGTGTAGGCCTATAATTCAGAACAGCTATTTTACACGTATAAAGACAAATTTTATTGCAGCCTACAGTAGAAAGAGTAATTATCAATTGAGAAGTGTATATGCCTAGTCAACGATACCACCTTCCATAGCATACCTGCCTCTTCCACAATTATTATCAGCAAAATGCAACTACTATACACAATTTCCAGTAGGTCTGAATAGAAATGACCTAAAATAAAACGATAATATCCAATAAAATTCGCAGTACACATAATTTAACTTTGGTGTCCGAACATCAAAACTAATCGTCACACCTATCCTTTATATCAATTTCACTGTATTAATTGCTAAATAAATAAGTGTAAACAAAGAAAAGTAAAAACAACAACAGTTTGTTTTGAAACAGCTGTTTGGTTCAAATAACATTCATTTGAAAAAAAGAACTGGTCACATGTAGCAGGAATATAAAAAGTAAACACGCTAGTAAAGCTAATGACGTACAGACAGTGTCATTAGTCTGTGCGCGCGGATCTGACACTACTAGCCATTCTATAAAACTTGGGCTCACTCACTCCATTATAATTGTCAATGTTTATTATCCATACCGTTATCAGTTCTATCCTTGATAATTACCCACCCTCATTGAATGAATGTACATCGTAATTTCCCATATTAGTTCCAATATATTCATAGTTGAAATAAAAGTGATATTTTCACGTTTGGGGCGCTGATATAGGCACCCCCAAAACGAAACGTAACCACAACTGAACACGATTTCATAAAAGGATGGTTTGTCTAATTGCAGTATCCTAGGTCAATGTTGACGTTGTGTTCAATCTGTCATCCATCTGTTTATCTTTGTATAAAACCCGGCTGAGGTTGTGGTGGTAATTTAAAATCGTGATTCCAGATTATTCTTGATCTTCTTTTTATGACATAAATATTTCCGGGCCTAATCCAAACAAAGTTAAAGCAGACAAACATTAATTGTAAACAAAAAGCTACCATGAAGAATTAAAACATGTAAATATTGTTATTTTTCTAATCTTTCCTTGAAAAGTGGAGCAGTAAAATAATTTGCATTTATTCTTTTTTATTAAGACTCGTGTACAGAGCCTCGATTTGTACTGTGGTTTAATTAATTTTGGTCTAAACTATTTTAAACTGTGGTCTAATTATCTCTACTTTTCTTACTTATTTCCTATAATCAATGACAAAATAAGAGTAAATAGAATAACCTCATAGTTCCATAGTTTATATTTAACCAGCTGTAGTTAAAACAAATTATATTGCTCTAAAACAAATCAAAGATTACAATGATTGCTTTAAAAAATAATTTAAACATCCTTGTATTTTACTATGTATATTTAATTATATTGTAATCCTCTTACCGAAGAATTGAACGTATCAATCAATGATTAGCATTACATATAGTATAAATAAGTCAACCCTAAGTATGTCTTTACATTTTTATCCAAATGCTGAATTTTGTGACACAAAAGCTGAATGTTTACAGCTGTTATGTTCAAATTATTTTATGCCAAAAGCTAGTTTAGAATCTTAGCGTCGGCTGCTAGACTTTTTAAAAATTAAAATTTAACTTCTAAAAAACTGGGACCCTAAACTAAAATTATGGCTTCGACATTCCCTAGTTCTCAAAATTATCTTTCTTTCAACACAAAAATCATATAAATCCGTCAAGTGGTTGATTCAGAATTGTGAAATAAAAAAACACTGTTTCGTTTTAATATTATAGATATAAAAAAGATAATGAAAACTACAGATTTTACTCTGGAAGAAAGAATAAGGAGAACATACAATAAACAACAAATATTATTAGGTACAAAAGTTTCTTTAATATAGTCCAGTACAATGCACCATACTAAAATGGAATGATAACAATAAGGTGTTATATCTTATAGTTAGATTGAGCCAAGTCTTGTGATCTAAAACTAAACTGCCCTTGAACAGATTTGAAACAAATGCTAAAATAAACACAAAACACTTCAAATAAATATGTGTACACACTTGGTAACTATAAATAATTGTGGATGAGACTAATCTAGTTTATTTTTATTTTTGGTCTTATTTTGTACAGTACATTTTATTTTTGAGTGTTGATTTATTCATTAAACTTAAAAACAAACTTTTATTGTAAAATATACAGGGTGATTGATATAAGTGTGCCAGTCGTTTTATTCGAAAACCATAAGAGATATCAAAAAAAGTTAAATGGTAAGTGCCTTGGATTTTTTATTTAAAAAATTGTAGTTAAGTCAAAAAAATTATTTTAGCCGCCATTTTTCCAATATGGCCGCCAACTTTGATTTTTCTTATGGAACACCCTGTATTTTATGATGTATTCTGGTAGAAAATGTAATTTTAAGACGATTTTATTGTTGTGATTTTTTTTCATAAAGCTAACCGTTTCATAGATAATAATGGTTAAAGTTTTTAAATTTCTGCTTGAGAAAGAATTTCGATAAAGGCCTAAGCAAGCATGCCAGCTGTTTTATTCGAAATCCATTCAAAATTGCACAACTTAAACCATTATTATCTTTGAAACGGTTAGGTTTATGAAAAAAATTACAAGAATAAAATCGTCTTAAAATTACATTTTCTACCAGAATACATCATAAAATACAGGGTGTTCCATAAGAAAAATCAAAGTTGGCGGCCATATTGGAAAAATGGCGGCTAAAATAATTATTTCGACTTGACTACAATTTTTTAAATAAAAAATCCAAGGCACTTACCATTTAACTTTTTTTGATATCTCTTATAGTTTTCGAATAAAACGGCTGGCACACTTATATCAATCACCCTGTATTTACTACTAATCACCTTAGATTAAGTACCAACCAGAGAATTTTACTTTAATATTTTGAACATTTTGTTACGTCAACAAAAATATTACATTAACCCTTTATAATTGTCACAACAGACTTTTCCTCCTACCCTTGTTTATTTTTATAGAGAAATATCCGTTATCACTGGCTTGCAGTTTCAAGAGTAACCGTTTCTTGCACGCTTCTTTCTAGGAAAAAATTGAACATGATTTTGCTCTCTCCCCTCCCCTATTAAACAGCTGCAAAGAGTCAAGTAGCACAGAGCCTGCACTAAGTATCACCGCTTGCGCTAAATGCCCGCTACTAGGTTCCCGGAGGAGTGCACTGCTAGGCACTCCTTGTGTCACCGACCGTGTTTTAAAATCAAAGACACCCACAAAGGGTTAACATATATTTTTGGACCATATGCAGTATTTTAAGAGTTGCACACTGTTGTACAGGATTAGAGGGAACAGAATCAGTGATTTTGAAACATTCACTAGAACCAAATAAATTGAAACAAATCTTTGAGTTGTAAATTGCATTGATAGTCTAACATAATGCCTACACTTCTAAGTGAGATATTTACAAACAGGGAAACAGGTTGAAAAAAGACATACCTTCAACCAAATCCTGTTAATTAATACACAATTAATTAATTAGTTTGATATTTATTTATTCATTATTGCTCCATAAAAATACACCTATTCAAATTATCTACTTATTTTATAATATCATTTATTTACATCAGTTCTATCTCTTCAAACTTCTTCATGTGTTTTAAGCTTATTTCAAAGCATAATGTGTTTTTTTTCAAATCAAATCAAAATAGTATTTATTTCGCCAAAATATTTACAAATTTCATAATAAGGTTGCCATTCCTTAAGTCACAGGGATAGAAAATACGATATAAAACTAATGTCAAAGATTAGATCTACATACTTATTTATAACGATAGTTAATGTAATTTTGAAAAAAGTAAACAATTGCATCTTAAACTTAGTGCCAGATTTCAATCAGTATAATCCCAAATGGTTATGTTATAATAAGCATACGGGAAGCCAAAAACCCACGTGTTCATCAAATAAAACAATTCCAAATGCCTTTTTCATGTTGTATCATTTTACTCTGCAGGGGTTTTGTCAATGGATCGTCTGAAGACAGGCACTGTTGACACACTTTCCAGCACAGAGTCGAGCATACCTCGAACTGTGTCAGACGATGAAACGATTATCCAGGCTATCAGCAAGTAGAAGAGCAAAGCAGCAAAACGGTCCAGTAGCCAAAATCTGTAAACACGCAAGATAATTTATCATTAATAATTTCTTTCAGTCATCTATATACACGGTTGCTATTTGCTACGTGGTTGCTGAATATCAGTAGAAAATAAATGAGAGTAACTGTGTTACTAATATAGATGGTTATTCTTTAGTCAGGATCATTAAATACAGCAGTTCCATATTTGAACTTAATGCTACGCCTGCAACTCAATCCATTACCTAATCCAATTATCTACTCTTTGAAGAAATCCTATACTGTATTAGAGTGAAAATTTAAAAACGTACGTTTTTCATGTCCCTGGCCTTTTACTTCGTAGATACTGGATTTGTAATTTATTATTATGTGTTTTAATATTTTTTGGGACGGGGGCAACATGCTACACACATTTATTTGGTTTTAAATAGGTTCTAGGTATTTTTTTTGCATTTTTAAAGTCTCGAAATTCACGACCATGACGTGTCCCTAGGGTACATTTTCCAACTTTCACGCTGTTTGTCGACTAATTATTAATGCCGAAATATATAAAGCCACATTTTTATGTCATCAATAGTTATTAAACTAACAAAAAAGGAACATATTGTAATTTTATTGTCATTGCAAACTGACTACCATGACAAAATAAGTCTGTCCCTCGATTTGGCGCCATGACCATTTGGGAAAAATTTTCAACTTTGGAGCACGACAGTGGCAAGCTTGGCGTCGATTGCGTCAGTTCGTTTTAGAGACTAGTTCAGGGTGTACGTCAAGTTTGTTGTGCCGGTCGTTTTGTGTTGAAAGAAGTAGTTACAAGATTAATAAAGGTAAATTTGTGTTTTTTGTAATTTTAGTGTGTCCATAACTGTACGTAGTAATTTGATAAAGTAGACGTGGTTTTAATTTTTGTTGATATGATATTTCAATTGCTACATTAACCTAGAAGTCCACTTTGTATCCTCGAACATGAGGTGCAGGGCTACCGCCAGAACAGAGCCAAATAACACGTGATGTCACGACCAAAGTTTCACGACCATCGCGGGTTTTTTCACGACCAATCCAGCCTTATAGATTATACTGTGTTTGGTCGTGACAATAACTTAAATATCATTGTAAATTGAACAGTTTAGTTCAATTGAAACACATATTTTTATTATAACTAACAGTAAAATTGAAGGATTGTTTAGAAAGATTTAGATTATTCCAGACAATTCACGACCGTACTGCTTGTCCCTGACCATCACGTTGATGATTTCTATCATAAAAATTGAAAAAATTAAAATATCATCATATTTCAATGTTTTATACACAAAAGAAGCACGCCTCTATAAAAACATAACGATTTTTCGGGTCTCAGGTAAGTTTTTTCGGAGTTACACAAACTTAAAAGATTTGATTGGCTTTTTTTAAATTTTTTTTAGTTTTTTAAATTTTTTCTAGAAAGACCAAATATACCAAAAGCTTAGTGAGCTGTTTATTGTAATAAAAGTAAATTAATTTATAGCAAAACATGATTGTAAAAATAATATTAACTATTTTTAAAATTCAGTTTTATGTCCATGATGGTCGTGACAAAATTTCGTGTTTTTCCATCAAAGATGCTCTATTTACTAAAAATCACCAAAGATATTGCGTTACCATGGACATTTTATGAAACTTCAAATGTAAATGAAATAAATAAATAAAAAAAGTTTCAAAAACGGAACAAAAAACTTTAAAAGTGCTTTTCCTGAAAACGTACGTTTTTAAATTTTCACTCATTAGTGTTGTCAGTGTTATATTTTGTTGTATTTCATTCTATTGGCTCTAGTTTTCTCTGTTAAATCATTTAAACTCTGAATTTTTCAAATCCTTCATGTGCTACCGGTACTCTTTTGTCAATTATTTCACTTGTAATTCAAATTTGATAAGTCACAGTCACTCTCAAAAAAGCTGGAAGTAAATACAGCACTCACAGCATGAGGTTCCTCCTGGCCCGAGGTATGTTGGCAGGATCTTCCTTACACAGGTACTGGCGAGCTCCTAACATACAGTCCGTCATGTACGGCACCTCCTGCACATCTTCGAACGGCATTGCAAACGTCTCTTTGTCAGGTCCTTTCAACTCATCCCTTAGAGCCAGAAGTTTGTCATTCTTGAAGTTCCATTGTCTCGTGGTGAAGTACTGAAGAACCTCTAAACCTACAGCCACTTTGTTCTGGACACGGATCATGCTGAAAGTGGACAAAGTTTAAAATTATCTGTTAATTGGTCATGAGCACAATTTTATTTTTAGAAGGATGAATGCAGCTAAAGAAGCAAAATTTTTAGGGCAACTTTCTGAGCTTTACTTGATTTATGTAATCCAAAGACCCCAAATGTTTTATATTTTAAAATAGGCTTTGACTTGTGATTGGAGAATCCAAAATCAAAGGTAAAATCTGTGATAATGTGCAAATCTTTGATATTCACCGGTACAGTAATATTTGAAGAAATCATGATGGTTTATAAACTAGCTGTCATAGGCATAAGCAACCTATTTGTATGGTAAGAATATCAATCTTACACTACAGGATGATAAATAATTTTTGAATGTCAAATATGCACAAATGTAGCCTAACAGTTCAAATTTAAAAGGTCAGATTCATATTTGATGTTAATTTGTTTTTGAAAAGTTAGGCTTTTGGTCAGCCCTCATCATTCCATTACGTGGAATATGCAATAAAGAATTTTATTTTAGAGTAGTTGCTGCTCATTGGGGAAGTTGAACATTTTCTAGTAAGGGAACGCTCAACACTATCCAAAAACTGACTAATATATAAAATTAAAATATAGGATTCGCTGCCCACTACACCACTGTTGCTGATCTATTTTATTAACATTACAAGTGTTAACACAATCAAAAGTTTTACTCAAATTGATTACCAACTACCTACTCACAATTAAATATGCTACAATTAATTAACATGGAAGAAATTAAATTACTCATACCATACACCTAACTAAAGGATTCTCTAGAAACTCACAATCGTTTTTGTCCAAAGATGAACAGAAGTCCATCAATGAAGTAGGCAGGGATCCAATGGTAGAATATTGCGTAGATGTCGTGCACTAGTTTGCTGCTGCGAATGTTGCCATCAGGGTACCACAGCATGACAGAGAAGGGATACTTGTAGAAGATCTCTCGTCCGATCTCCAGCACACGGCCCCACGACACAGTGGCGGTCTTGCCTTGGGTCAGGTTGTACACAGGCATGTCTTTAGTCCTGCGAGTAATATTTGATGTTTAATTGTGATTTATTGGTTTATGAACTGAAAGCACAAATTTTTGTGAAATTTGGCACCTTTTGTGTCATGTCAAATATAATGTTAAAAGAAGAAATATAATTTTGACGGCACCACTTTCTGTCTGAGGCTGATTTAAATATGTTTTATTCGAATAAAATTATCTTTGATGCTATCCCAGGTTCAAGAACTTATATTAGATTAGTTTTTTTACTGTGGTTGCCCATGTTCTTGAGTAAGATGTGTTAGTGATAAGAAGATAGTTTACGAAGGCCCCCTGAAGATGCCACACAAGCTAATGCATAGGGTGACACACAAACATCTTATTCAAGAACAAAGGCAACAAAAAAAGTAATAATACAAAAATCCGGTACTTTCCTTTTAAAGGGAACATTTACTATTATCGATGATTTTTTTCGATGTATCGATACTTTTGTTTTCCGATCCATTACAAATTGACAACTGATCTTGTTTAGGTTAAAATAGTCTATTATATGGATTATGAAATGAAACTGTTCTAAGCTAACCTAACATAACCAACCAAACTTGCTGTACTATTTAAAAATTCCTTTTGATAACAGAAAAGGCAAGTTAAACAGAGAAATTTTAAATGTTACACAGCAAGATTGGTTAGTTATGTTAGGTTATTTTTTTAAACAGTTTCATTTCATAATTGTTTGTTGATACTGAACAATATTTATCGTAGTTGTCAGCTGATATGTTTCAATTTGTTAATATCGATATATTGAGAAAAAATTCATCGATAATAATGAATGTTCCCTTTAACAGGAAAGTACCAAATTCACTGCTTGTCATCTTTAAGGATAGGATGTTTTCTCTAATATCCCAAACTCAATGATAACTTATAGGTCTTCCAATATGGTTTGTACAACAAAAAATAACTATCAGTAAAATTATTGTCCGTTTAGGTTTAAAAGTCCTGCTGGTTTAGGTGAATTTATGACTCCCCATTTACATTCAAAAGCTGATCAAATTGCAGCAAATATATAATATCAAACAGAAACGTTATGTACCGGACATAAACAAATCAATCATATCTTAAGCTGATCCATAAGGATATCATCTGTAAGGGAGTATTCTCCTTTTTCTTATAATTAATGAGTCACCTTTCAGTCATTTTGCCAACTTTTGCAGTGACAACAATTATTCCGTTGATGGCAAAGTCCACAGGTATGAGCTGAGCTAGCAGTTCTGCTTTGCAATGCATCGTACGGATAACTCCCTTACCACCTCCGATCAATAGACCTACAGGACCATTGAGGTTATCTACCCAGCCTGGAACTGGCTCCTTCACTGATGGTGTTACTGGGGAAAGAAACAAGTAATGAAATTTATTAATGATCAAGCTTACGGATATTATCAAACATAAACCACAACCAAAAAAGGGTTTTGGAATGCTCCTTGCTTTAGGGGTTTTACTGCTATTGTATATGCCTCATACATCAACAAACTCAAAATACATGTTAACTTTATAAAAGTTGAATTTTTGTAAAGCTTATGTTTACTGTTCTCGGGGGAGGGATCTGGTCTAGTGGTTAGAGCGCGGGTCCCGGGTTCAAATCCTGCCAAATCACCAATGGATTACATCTAAGTGATAATGCCCCAACTCCTAGGTCTAGCCTGAAGCATTGACTAAGGAAACAAAAGTTTGTTTCCCTTGTCTGTGCCTGAAGTAATGCGAAAATCAATCCCAGGCTCATGCAAACTATTCTGTAAAACCTCATAAAACTTACCAATGGAGGGCCTGACTATGCAAGCTGGAATATCAGGATAGTATTCGTCTACCATAGCTTCTGCCAACCTCTTTGAGTAAGTGTATGAGTTGGGGTGAGGATGCAATACCCTGAAAAAGGGATAGTTGAACTTAAAATATTTCACTTACCCTAGAATGACAACTGATCCTTTCAAAATAGATGTAAGCTTAATCACCATCCTCATAAGTTTATTAAATGCCAAAATAATCAAACACACACTCAAACTCAATTATTCTAACTTGAAATTGCAAGACTGGTGTATATTTAATTCATATAAATCAACACATCAAATCGCTTGATTTCTAGAATTTGAGGCACTGGAAGTATAGTGGAATAGAATACAGAATAGGACTGGCCTCTGAGGAGGTAGGGGATGCGACGTTGCCACTTCGTTCTTGGCTGGTGAGCTGACTTTCACCTAGAGCCGGGGAGCGGGCGCGGGCATCCCTCTGACTCTGTCTTCCCACTTGTAGGGTAGTTTAACACTACAAATTATTAATTTTTTTGGCGGTATCGGTTAGTGTTGTCATGTTTATATCACATGGAACATACATTCATCCCTTACATGATTATGGATAGATTATTTGCACTGACTTAAACCGCTACTAGATTTAGTTTTTGAAAAATATATTAACATACAATTAATAAATATAAAATGAAAATACATTTTATATAGGGTCACCTTTACAAGTATCTGGAAATATGTTGCCTATAGTCAAACGTTTGTCAACCCCAATTTTTAAACAAATCACCGTAACAATAAGAGCAAATGAACGAAGTTGGTCAATGTTTAGGAATTACCCCAAAGCTGCCTTTCTTTGAACACCTATTGTGACCCTCACTCCGTTAATCTTATTATTGCCACTCGACTGAACTTAAACTTACGGAGAACAGGTAGCTCAATAGTGACGAAGACATTTCTGTAATATTGTGATTTTACAAAAAAGTCCGTTAGTTTTATATTGAATTTAAGAAAATTGAACTAACGTTTACATACATTACGTTATGCGTTGCATTCATTAAAATAGTCATACGATATATTCACTCTTCTATAACAAAAAAAACTTCTAATGTAGGTACTCTAGAAATCCTCAAAAAACATACCAGGTAAAAAGGGAAATTGATAACATAACTGCCAATTTATTGCCAAAATGACATAACTATTTCTATTAGAAAATATTATTACATTGCACTGGAAATTGTTACATAAGAATATTTACAAAAGAAAATATTAACGTATGAAACTTCAATAAAACTTTTAAGGGACAATAAAATTTTTATATAGGCCTATCAAGATATTTGCATTACGTAAAGGAACGTAAAGGAACACCACGTCCGACGTTACGATATCGCAAACGTTTCACGTGTACTCGTGGTCGTCCACGTCGCGTACTGTTGTCCGTATTCATTGGGCGAAACACAGTTCATAGACGAATTCTTGACAAAACAGGAGGGTATACTAGAAACGCACAGGTCGGCTATCGGGCAGAGACTGAGTGCGTGGCACAACTTGGCAACAGTGGACAGTTTTCTAAAAGCTGATTGGATGCCGCATGCCCCGCCCCACCCGACTCGAACTGGTTTCGGTCCTATTCTGTATTCTATTCCACTAAAACATAGCGTACATAGATTGCAACAGGAGCTGCAACTATCTCCTCTATATTCTTCTGTAACTACCTCTAACAAACACATTACAAAATAAATAAAACTAAAAACAGTAAAGCATTTCATTACATCAGTATTACATGAAAATGCCTACTTAATGACAATTTATGTATTTACTCTATGGTTAAAATATAGCTGTATTTGACCATCAAAGTTGTTTATTTTTCTTAGAATCACACTGTTAATTCAAAATCATAGTAGAAACAAAATGTTGATGATAAATAAATGCTCTTCCGACTTGGAACTTACCTAGGTTGTATCACATCTAATGTCTCCTGGTCCATCCATTCACACATACGCATGATGTCCAAAGGAGAGATAGGTGTGTCATAGATCTTCTCTTCCATCACCTCCACATCCACATGACAAAATGCAGTCGATACATGGACAAAAACCTATAAATCCATATAAAATTATTTGTTGCATTCAATTCGCAAAATACAGTAGTATGTTTTAATAATTAAGAAAGATAAATTTATTAGGCATGCAGACCCAAAATTATAGTATGTTTTTGTTTGAGTGTACTGTACTTAAAAACATTGTACCAGTTTCTTGGCTTTACTAATGATTTAACCTTACTCTTGCGAAGGAACTGGACGTTTAACTAACGTGTTTCCCATTAACTGACTGCGGTCACATTTTAATATCTTTTTAGTTGTAGTTGCCAGAGCCATTGTTGCAATTCTTTTACCAAACATCCCCACCAAATAAACTATTAGTGCAATTATAAGGTAATTCTTTGAAAGGTTCTGTTAACTAGAAAACACATTATTTACAAACTGTTAAAGGTGTTAGTAGTATCTGTATAAATCATACATTATATAGTGCATTTTTCCAGTACAAACAGAACAATTAACATTTATTTTAATACATTTGTAAACCAGACCATAGGAAATGGGATTACAGAATCGTTTGGCCAAAATAAAGTTTAATATTTTCTAAATATATATTTAAAATTACTTAACAAATATTTAAACACCTCTTTGTTAAATAATTTAAAGCTCAAGGCAATGCAAGTACTCTGCACTCTTACCTTTAAGTTTTTGATCTGCTTGGCTAGTTCTAGCACCCTGTAAGTTCCGACTACATTCATCTCCACAGCATCCTTCAGTTTGGCCTCCAGTTTCAGAGTAGCAGCACTATGGATCACCACTGATACCTGCGCACAACTAATTATCAGGATGTAACCATAACTCAAGGCATTGATGATCAGTATCAGTTCAGTGCCTAAATCCTTGTGAAGGATTTTTCATCCTTTTATGGTTAAAGTGTATGGTTAGTCTGGTATCATAGTGTGTAGAATGTTTGCTTTCTGTAAGCAATGAACTACGGAACTCTTAGAAAAATATACTGTCACAACCTATTTGTTTGGTTAGCAATATTTAGTTGACAACAACACATAATCAACCTGACAACCTGACATCAAAAGTGAACAATGACTGACTAGAGATGTCTAAAAGATTGTTGTTTGCTTTTTTACACTGTTTTTGGACAAATACCTAATAGTAGCTTACGCAACGGTTGTGTAAGGCTAATTATGCGGTTTGTGTACACTACTTTACTTACGACCATTTCTAAATACTAAAAATCACTACTCATAACTTTCAAGAGAGTTATGTTTTCGTTTATAACCTCTCATAGCCACTGATTGTGATGCAACGACTTATTTTCAAACCAATCACTCATTGTTCAATCAACTAAATTGATCTTAACAGCTGATAGTTGTATGAGGTATTACAATTTTACTTATTTTCTATCAATCCTTGAGCCTCATTGATCCGTTACTCTGTTGTTAAATAAAACAACAATGCTGGTAAGCAAATCTTTTCAATTCTAAGAACTGAAATAAAACGGCTTGTTAAAAAACCGGTCGTAGGTAAACAATATATCATAGCTATCTTAAAGATCCTTTGAGTAGAAATGAGTAAGTGTTTTTTCACAATACTGGTACCTCCTCAGTGATTCGACGTTTTGCTTCATCCGTAAGTCCAAGATTATCTTGCAGTACGTCTCCAAATATTGGTACAATTTTCTTGAAGGCTTCTGGCTTGTTATCTCGGATGCGATGAAAAAGCTGGAGAAAAAGTAATTACGTTAATTTAAAAAGAATGATTGAGAGATTTATATTTTAAATAGACTTTTTAACAGCCACCACTATTTACAAAAAAAAAAAAAAAAAAAAAAAATGCAATAGATAATTTTTTAAGTTAAATTCATTCAGTTCCACGAAATGTTGTGGGGATTAGAGGTAGAAATTTGAAATTTTAATTGACACAAAATAGTAGTTTTCATCAATAGGAGCCAAAGTGGCTCTTTTTGGTACGCAATCGTGTTTTCAAGTGAGGCGCAGCCAAGCTTGGAAATATAATTATAAGTAGGTACCAAAAATACACTTTTGCTCCATGTGATGAACAACTATTTTCATCATACTGTGGAAATAAGCTTCTAATCGTTTTAAAATTAGACCACATAATTTGATGTTATAAAAAGTCTTCAGTAAACATTTTACTGTTGTAATTTCTGTTTTTTACAAACATAACTTTAAATACCGTGTGGTTAGTTGTATTTCCATAATGCACTGATAAAATTTTGAAGTTAGCAAACTGAAAAAAATTATTATACGTTTTTTTGTTCCCTATTTGCAGTTACAATGATTTTGCTGACAATTTAGAGAACTAAAAACGGCTGCTTTCGAGACATTAAATCAAATATAAAAAAATCACTAACTAAATTCTGATCTCTTAAGCCTCTAAGCCAGTTGGCGGGCAGGTTACCAAAGGCAGGTAACTTGAAATACCAACATAAGCGCATAATAAAACGCTTCAGTATACTTAATTTTTTTTTAAGCTCTACAAAATGGTTTAAAAATAAAATTCAAAATTTTATTTTTTTGGGTAAAAAATGGGAAAAACCAATTTTTTAATATGGCTCCCGTAAATTTATTTAAATGTGGCTTTACTGATATGGCTTTAAGAACAGCACTACAATGTGGCTTTTACAAATTTTTATGTCCGTGCAATCATCTCATGTTTGTCTAAATTAAAAGATTTGTAAGAACATCTGTTTGTTTTAGTATATAAGTCTTTAAAGCAAAGGTTTCATGCCTCGAAAGAATTTTCAAACATAGTAGAGCTTGCTGGAGAAAAAAATGACTCCATTAGTAAACAAATTATAGAATCATACTCATATATGTACATAATTAACATATATGTACATAATATATGTATGCATAATGGAATAATTATGTACATAATATATGTACATAATGGAATAATTATGTACATTCCACGCGTTACTGTAAATGCACATGGGACTTGAATGACAAGAAGAAGATAATTTTCTCAGACTGTATCCACATTGAAAGCCAATTACCGGAGATTTGAACATTTCTTCCATCCTAGCCTCGACGGACTTCCCCCTCTTGGGACGGATGAGGATGAAGATCTGACGAAGGTCGGTGCAAGCATATAGGAGCTTCTCTAGCAACACTTTACCCATGAAGCCTGATGCTCCAGTGACCAGCAAGGAGCGGCCAGCGTAGAACGCCGCTACCTCGCTCTTGGATCCGTTCATCCTGAGGACAAAACACATTCAGTATTAGTTTATAGGTAGTTGTTAGTTTGGTTGTTTGGTATAATCGTAGGAAAAAACTTGGTTGACATCACATGTTACAATTTAATGGTATTTCGACACCCTAGCAAAACCTGACAGATGGCATATAGTTCAAGCTATTTCTCTACATAAAATATTGGCTAATTATAAATTAAGATACAGTTTTTAAATGATTAACCAAAGTTGACAGTCTTACTTTTTTTATAGTTAGGATGATCTACACTCTAAGGTTTTAAGTATTCCAATGGATACGAATCCATTGCATTGGTAATGGACATTATTTGAAAAGTATGTCTTCAGGACCTACTAACAAATTGCCCTAATCTGCCGATCTCTATTTTAAAATCACAGTTGCTAACAATCTTTGCATGACAGTTTCAGCAATATATAGCTTCTTATCTGAATGCACTTTGACTGTTTGTAGCTCTTAAACTTGTTTCTTACACCCAATTAGCTAAATAACGTCTCATCTTTCTTTGTTGTCAGTTTCAAAACACATCTCCTACAGTAAAATCCCATACACAGATATTATTTCTATTTCAAACAGACTTTTAAAAGAGCACAGACTAACTTCTTCTATATTATACTCCGTTCCATGTCATACACAGATTCATTTACAACACCATTAAATCATAATGGCTATCTCAGAAGCTATCCTAGGAGAACAATGTCAACTACTCTTTTCATCTTTGAGCCTCATATGTTAACCATTAATTCAATCATGAATATTTTACCATGTTTCCCCTCATCTTATAATATGAACATTTCGAACACATACCCAAAACTTTTAAGCAACACATTTTTGGTGGGCCAACACAGAAAGGTTAAATAAAAAGTAGCAAAATGCCTGACCCGAAAAAAGGATTGGATGAGTAAGGTCAGACTGCTTATAGCTGAAAATCAATTCTTTTCCGTCACACGGAGATTGATTTCCGACCTTATTCAATCATCACACCCCAGGACCTCCATGAGGCCAATGTCAGCCAGCCGAGCTGAACATGATGAGTCATTATAGAGCTGCTAGTCACTGACATTACGGCTACATTGTGTCATTGTATGCCTGCCACTCATGTGTCAAGGCCCAGGTAGACATTGAAGAATAGCATGAATTAGTTGATCAAAGCCTGTCACTGACATTTAAAGCCAATGAGAATTAAAAATTTTGATTGATACATCTATCATCAGCTTTTGTACTATAAGTTAAATTTACACGATTAACTTGAATCTAGTAATGAAAACATGGAATAGTGACATAAACAAATCTCTATGTGTGTGTGTACGGTGGATGTACATTAGGACTGATCATAGTACTAGAAATATTCTTAAATTACCTTACATGTAAATATGTTTAAAATGCTATGGTTAAACTATTAATTCATTTTTTTCAGCTCTGGATGCTTCTAAACCAATTAATTAGAATATTTATTTTATTTTATGTGTTTTGTTTTATCTCCACTAGTAAAGTATTATTTTATAATAACGATGTGTATGATTTCAGTAGTTTTTAGCAAATTTCCCATATAGGGAATATGCTATTACTGTAGTACTCATGGTAAGACCTGGACCAGAGACTGATTTACTTTTTTGTTTTGAGGTCCCTAGAGGCCAAAAACAACTACCGTTCTAATTAATATATTACAGTATATAGTGTCCGTTAGCACGATAACTCGAGCAAAAATGATCCGATTTTGATGAAATTTGGTATAAACCTGTAAAACTACATTTATTCGAACGATTGCGAACCAGTATGATCATACCGTGGAAACGGGGGTTTATGGGGGGTTTTATGGGGTAAAAATTGGTTTTTCTCATTTTTAACCCTAAAAACATAAAATTTAGCAACTTCTTTCCAAACCATTTTGTAGATCTAAAAAAAACAAAAAAACAAAAACAAACTACTCAGTATATTGAAGTGTTATTATGTGCCTAATGGTTAAGGAGAAAATTAAAAAAATTGTAAATTTAAAACTCCCATGTTATTCTTATAAGTAAACTGTTGTTTGCTTGTTTATGAGAATATTTTGATCACATTTGGAAAATGCATTTATTTCATACTAAACTATTAACATTTTACAAAAAACACTTTTTTACCTTCCCTGTTACAGCACACCTAGAATACTTGTCAAACTAATGCTATATAACAGATCGGCAATAGGGAATATAAATGTGATTTTTTTAAGGAGACATTTAAGTAAATCCAATTAGGCAAATGGAAATTCGCTTAGTCTGCAGGTTTGCTGCGGGGGCTATTTCCCATTAGGGGTTTTAATTTAATTATAGAAATTGAACACAAAACTAGAGGACTGGATGATTATATTATGTTTTATAGCTACATCTAAATGATAGCTAATGTGAATAAGATACAGCTAATCTATCAACAATTATTCAACAGTCATCTACCATGCCTTATTTACAATTTTCGGAGGTAAGAATTGAGATCCAAGTGATCCAAAGCACATAGAGGTAAATGTTCACATTCACCAATCCCTGACCACAACAAACGGCCTCTTCTGGCTCTCTGCCGAAACCACTTTCACTGATTTGCCTTGCAATGGAGCTTGCTCAGCATTGATTTACAATATCTTATCACACATAAATATTAAAATGAATCTAATCATAGAGTATTTTGGAACAGAAGATGATTTGTATAAGGTGTTGAAGGCCTCTAAGATTAAAAACACTCTGTTCATCTAATTTTTCAAACAAGTTGAAACAAACTATGTGCTTGAAATTGCACTAATTTTACCTCTGCTTGCTATGCAGACTCTTACACGTTATTGCACTTGAGGTAATTTGAGTAAAAGATTATTTTGTTGATTTTGAGTCGACTTGCAGTAAAACGACTCGAGTACCTCAAATAGGTTGTGACAATTAATTAGGTTTCATTAAACAGCAATGATTGAACCGATTGAAAGACGAAAAGCACAACGTGATACAATTGGCCTAAATATATTGAGTATATCGGGTATATTGAAGAGTAACTGGAAAAATATGGCTTGAAGCACAAAATAATAACACAAAAAAAAAAACGCGAAATATTTTGAAAGTCCTTGTATATAAGTCTAGTAGTAATACTTTAGTTAAAAGGGTATCAAATCGGTTCATTGGTCTCTTCGAAGGACCATGGCGGAGTAAACTAGGAATCACACGTTGTTGATGATGTCACAACAATGTGGAGAAACAGCTGACTGTGTGAAAGTGAGGTTATGTCGGGGTCGCACGACAGCAACGGCAAACCGGTCTGAGAAGATCGAACCTCCAACCTTCGGTTTCAGTGCGTAGCAGGTGCCTTGGGTTGGACCAATCTATAGTGACGAGAGATACGTTGCACGAAGGAGTTTACAGCCAGAAAAGTACTCTCGGTAACAAACAACAAATTTGCGACAACTGACATCTTTACCGAAAACTATCTAAACAAAATTCAGGGATTTCTGTATACTCATCAAAGTTCATTGGGCTGCTGTAGAGTGGATATGGTGCTGTCAGGTGGAGTCAGAAGGTAGTCGTTTTGATCTTGAGAAAAGTCAGAGGCTTTTTAAACAAGATTCTGCTACTTTGATCATTGGGGTTTCAATTTAGGGGGTTTTTCAGCAACGACTGTCATTTAATTCTTCAACTCTCATCATTTTGCATCCTGGGGTGTTGGCTTCATGTTGGCTCCAATATAATTTAATCCAATCACTAGATAAGTAAGGGAAAAGAATCATCTGATGTCTTCCACATGCCTAATGCAACCATGATTTTATAGTAATACTTCCAAAAATAGTTAGTTAGCAGCTTAATCTCAATGGAACAAAACGCAATAAGTACGGTAGTTTCATGGAATTAACTCAATATTTCTCTGTCAAATCAAAGTTAATTGATTAATATACACCTACAACCAAGAGTTGTAGTAAAAGGTTTAGTAGATAAAGGTGTTTAGTAAATATGGACGTTGCCAGTTGTCACTAAATGACCTCAGTTGATAACCACTAATGATAACCAATTTGATATGACTACAAGAACGAGAAGCACAGCCTTCTCCGTTACCAGCCGCTGGGCAGTTAGGAGAAGAGTTACGGCGGCGTTTATAACTGCAAGGACCGCCTATGTGGCAATAACACCGATATTAACAGGCAGAACAAAATGGACGATGTGGATTTGAGCTCCCGATAATACTCACTCAAACCTTCACCAAAACAATCAATGGCTACTACTGTCTTTCGGAGGCAAACTTAGATTAGGGGTCATGTTTTGTCACAACAGCTTTTTGCTTTAGATTCTTTTAAGATTGGGCATCATCATAGCAAGCAGCCTTAGGTGATTGGAGTGATTTAATCTCTAGGCTCCAGAAGACCAGGACATATGTTGCCCGTCCTTACCACCAGACCAGCCAAACTCTCCAATATACATGAATGTAAGGTAACGCAACAAAATGATTAATCAAAACAGTCGCAATCCAAGTCATTAACTTTCATAGCAGAAATAAGAGCTGTCCCACTTCCAGACATCTGAAGCTGAACTAATTATCTTTAATGAAAATCACATTAATTATAAACAATGACGACACAATGCATTATACTGCATATAGTATAAACATGCAATGCGCAAAGACCGTCAACGCAGCTTATTAGACTCTGAAGTACATGTTACAGCTGAAACGGAAGCGCTACTTTCCCTCTTCGTTAGTTCACATCCGGAGTCAAGACACAGGTGATTCTCTTGCGTGCGAATGTTGGGAAATTCACGAGAAATATGGCTGAAGTATTTTCATATCAGGAGAGGGACGGAGGTCGATATGGAGATGCGTTGTCAAACGGTTGAATCTCGGGAGTTTGATCAGATTTGTAATTAACAGAAGGATGTCAGGAAGTTGCAACTGTTTCTTCTTTCGTGATTTCCAGCGGGTAATGAGCCCACTGCGACTGTTGAAGGACATCGTCCTATTGATTCTGGAGTTGTAATAAGTCTTCAGGTTTCAAA